TTTTAATTATAGACCGGAAAGCTCATTATTTTATAATCAAGCAAAATCGCAATATGTTATTTGTATTTTGTCAACCAGACAAAAGAAAAAGTGTCTATGAAAACTCTAACAATAATTACTACCTTAGAAAAATTGTGAACATATCTTATTTAATAGAAAAACTATCGCGAGATACTTGGTTGTTTGTAGAAAAAAACATGAATTCGTCTATCATAAATATCGAATCATGGTTTATTCCAATTGATATTCTAATCATTATATTTACTATTATCACCATTGGACTTCTCATACTCTATTTATGTCTTATTTTATTTGACAAAACATGTCATACAATACATATGATGTTAGTTGCTAATTCATGTTTAACTGCATTTCTATTTGGATGTACAATGCTTACTTCATTCATAATTATGCTTATAAATGATCTTGAACGAATTTATTATCCTGATTCATATTGTATATTTCAAGCTTACATTAGTTATGCTACATGTGCTGCATTTAATTATTCATTTGTATTACAAGCTCTTTATCGATATATTCTTATTATTTATCCCCGTGTCTTATTCTGGCAAAGACGACGAACTCAAATGTTATTTGTTTTTAGTACATGGGTTTTAGGTTTTGCATCTCCTGTTATGTTTTTGTTTAATAATGAAGTTGTCTATAATTATGACAATCAAGTGTGTCAACTACCTCTTCGATTTTCATTTTCAGTTATTTATATATCATTTACTGTTTATGGAATTCCTGTCACATTGATTATATTTATTTACTTTAAACTACTTCGATATATACAAGAAACGAGTAAAAATGTAGCATCGATTAATGTTTTGTCTCGTGCTCGACGAGAATTAAAAATGATTCGCAAAATAGTTATATTAATATCAATTCTAATTGGAGTTGGTTTTGTATATGCAATCTTTATAATCATGTCATTTTTTGATCGTTTACCAAAATATCATTTTCGTATTGCGTATATCTTTGGCAGTTCGTCATTTCTTCTAGTTATAATTATTTTATTTCAATTTACTGATCCACTTAAAATATCATTAAGAAAATTAATCAATATACAATCAAATACAATTGTACCAACTGTAATATTCATAAATAGAAAAACTTAACATTTAGTTCAAATCTATATTATAATAAACAAAATTTCAGTTCACGAACGTTCATATCAGTAGTCACAGACAGAAAAAACGAAATATACATATATATTATCTATATTATAATTTACAAGTTTTCTTCAGAAACTGTTTTCTTATCTAAACTTTTCACATATGTTCCACACTATAAACTTGAACACAAGTATTCAACTATCCATTTGTGAAAACGCGACAGTGGGGGACAGGAGTAAAAGGGTAAGGAGGGCATCAGTGCAGATGAAAGGAAGAGAGATATTAGCATAGTTGAATAGTTGAATACTTGAAACGAATACTTGAATTTAACTTTGAAGTGCGACGCTACTGACTTTTTATTCAGTCAGTTTTTGCTATAATATGAAATTCTAACTCTTCACAGGGGCGTCTAGTTTCTATATATAATAAAACTTTGAATGGATCGTATACGTTAGCTTAAGTTGCACAAGCGGTATGTGGAAAAGTCCATCAACAACTTTTATAGTATACTAAAATAGTGAAGAGTATCATTCCATATAGTCTTAGCTACTGAAGATGAATTGCGAAATATTTTAAGTTGCGATAACCTATATCAAAAAGGACTCTTGAAGACGATGGTACAGTGATGCATCCGCCTTACTATCAAAACATAACGATCTTATATTAGTCACATTCTTCTCTTCTCCATTTTTAATCCTAGCGAACTCGATTCGACTAAACCAGAAGTAATCAATTTTAATTAATTACTATGTACTTATCTATAGAAAGATATATTAATATAGGATATTCGTCTAAACCATTTGAATACCGCATATCCAAGAGCGTTTTTATCTTTTTCGTCAATGTGAATATAGTCGGTATTTGCGAATCAAAATTTTTATATAAGAAAAGTAGTTAAAATCAATCAACTGACCATCCGGAATCTTCTACTATCATTCATTACTCAATGATCAATCGATAATCCTGAAATCGAATTCAATTTAATTGAGATTTTAATCGATTTCTTAAATTTTAATTGATTATGAGATTTTCATCCGGTTTACCACAAAATAATCAATTATAATCCGCTGATAATCACAAAATTAGATTTGATTTGATTATAATTAATTTTGTAGATGTCACCGGATTTAAAAACAAAAACCGATTAAAATCAACGAAACACAAATTTTTTTTTAACGATTATGAAAATAATCGATTATAATCGGCTTTTTTCTGAAAAAGCGGCACTTTTCTAGGAATAATTGGATTAGGTTACTCATAATCCGAAACAATCATGAGTTTTTGAAGGAAATTTTTCACTGGAATATCTTCTTTCGACATTAATTACGCTAACATTCCAAAACTATTCATCTTTTCATCAAATCTATTGACTATTTCAATAAATAGTAGTTTCTAAATAATATCTCAATTTTTTTTTATCTAAATGAGCGAATACAGAAAAAATATTTTTTCTCAAATCAACTCTACCATGATGTAATTAACATCAATGTGCAAACCCTAAGGTAGTAATTTTTTATTATTTTGTTCATAATATCTTTTAATTATAGACTAAAAAGCTCATTATTTCATAATCAAGAAGAATAACAAAATATTATTTTTATTTTGTCACCCACACAGAAGAAAAAGTGTCTATGAAAACTCTAATAGTAATTATTAGAGGTGTGCGCCGTCGACTTGAACGCGCGTCGGCTCTAGCAAAAACGTCAACTGCCAGCCGTCGGCTTCAGAAAAAAATCGGTTGGCAGGTGACGTCTTTAATAATTATTACCTTAGAAATATTATGAAAATGTCTTATTTAATAGAAAAAATATCGGGTGATACTCATTTGGTTGTAGAAAAAATGAATTCGTCTTTCGTAATGATTGAATCATGGTTTATTCCAATCGATATTCTAATCATCACATTTACTATTATCACCATTGACCTTTCCATACTCTTTTTATATCTTATTTTATTTGATAAAAAATGTCATACAATACATATGATGTTAGTTGCTAATTCATGTTTAACTGCACTTGTATTTGGATGTGCAATGCTTAGTTCATTCATAATCATACTTGAAAATGATCTTGAACGAATTTATTATCCTGACTCCTGTTGTATATTTCGAGCTTATATTTGTTATGCTACATGTGCTGCATTTAATTATTCATTTGTATTACAAGCTCTTTATCGATATATTCTTATTATTTATCCACGTATTTTATTCTGGCAAAAACGACGAACTCAAATGTTATGTATTTGTAAGTCATGGATTTTAGGTTTTCTGTGTCCTATTATGTTTTTATTTAATAATGAAATTGTCTACAATTATGACAATCAAGTGTGTCAACTACCTCTTCGATTTTCATTTTCAGTTATTTATATATCATTTACTGTTTATGGAATTCCTGTCACATTGATTATATTTATTTATTTTAAATTGCTTCGGTATATACTTGAAATAAGTAAATATATAACATCGATTAATGTTTTGTCTCGTGCTCGACGAGAAGTAAAAATGGTTCGTCATATAGTTATGTTAGTATCAATTCTAATTGGAGTTGGTTTTGTTTATGCAATATTTATAATTATGTCATTTTTTGACCGTTTACCAAAATATCATTTTCGTATTGCGTATGTGTTTGGTAGTTCGTCATTTCTATTAGTTATAATGACTTTATTTCAATTCACTGATCCACTTAAAATATCATTAAGAAAATTAATCAATAGACAACCATATAGAGCTATACCAACTGTAATATTCACAAATAGAAAAACTTAACATTTAGTTTATATAAATTTCTATTGTAGAATTCATAAACATGTGTATAATAATGTGTTTTGAAAAATGTAAGAAACAATGAATATGAAGTCAATCTAAAATAAAGATGATACTCTTTTTGCACATACATCCAAAATACTATGCAATATATTAGTATACGTACTCGAATTAGTTAGTATTCACAAATGATTGTATTTTTTTTATAGATCTTACAGATCATTCTAATGAATGTGAAAAATATCATGAGTAAAATGAAATATTATTATTAATTTAATGAATAATCAAAATTATAAACATTTTACATTCAATTCTAGTAAAAATGGTTGATTAGTTATCATATATAATTAGAATATTTTTTTTTATCAAAATTATTTAGTATTCTATAACAATTATATAAAATGTTAAAACTAACAACTCTATGTACCTGTAATTTTATTGAAGGAAGTTGTATAGGTTATTCTAGAATTGTCACGTTCTGAGTAACAACTATTCATTCACCGTTTTCTTTTGCATACACAACTTCACATAAGTAATTCAAGTTCGGTCAAATTCCAAAATTTGATTTATTCGAGTTTTCAGAATTGAAAAAACTGTCATAAATTGTTTAGAGAAAGGAAAATGAAAAAAGTCAAAGGTTAAGTTCGATTATCAACATACTACAATTTTAACAATAGAGTACCTAAAAATATTGTGTAATAGTACCTAATTAAGTGCTCGATCAGTACATTCTCATGAAAATATATTTTTTTATGTAAAAAAGCTGTTAGCGCAATCCCTTGCGGGATTAAAATGTGAAACACGATCTAACTGTTGTTTCTACCTTCAAGAATATAGTCTAATTGTATCTCTATGAAGCGGATTTTGCCGCATTCTGCGGTATAAAGGTATAGAAATATAGGAAAGAAATAATTTATATATGATGTACTCGCTTTATTAGCGTTTTAACAGTTGTGTGAGTGTGGATATCGTAATCTTTGGTCGTTTATGCCCACACCCACATCCTATATAGAGACCTATGATACCTTGTCGACCAGGACTGTGGCCAGGTCAAAAGAACACGTGTCGGTCACGTCAGTGACGAGGTCAAAAGAACATCTGTCGGTCACGTCTGCGATTCTCTGTCGGTTACGTCTATGATGATCTATGATGCCCTGTCGGTCACGTCAGTGATAGTTTGCTATGCTCTGTCGATCACGTCTGTGATATTCTATAATATCACGTGGATTACTTCTGTGACGTTTTGTCGGTCACGTCTGTTATTTTTTTAGCATGCTTTGACGGTCACGTCAGTGATGGTTTACTAAGCTCTGTCGGTCACGTTTGTCATGGTTTTCAATGATATTTCGGCTACTTTTGCTGCTTATGTCGCTCACGTCAGTGATGTTCTGTCGGTCACGTCTGTGTTGCCCTATCGGTCACGTCAGTGACGGTCTATGATACCATGTTAATCGCCGCCTATGATGTTCGGTCCGTCACGGCTGTGATGTTCTGTCGGTGACGTTTGTGATTTTTTGTCGGTCACGTCAGTGGGGGGGGGGGGGGGGGGGGGGGAGTGGGTCCAAATTTCTGCCCCTAAACACTTCAACACTCCTTTTAGTTCGTGTTTCACAAAATAGATTAGAAAACATATGTACTTAATAGATTTATTTATTACAATACTATTATTTGATATTCGTAACAGATGGTATTAATGCTTTTTTACATGTTTATATAAATATAAGAAATAGCAATTCATTATTTATAATAGGAAGCATATCAAATATGACGTCGATTATGTATGTTTATAGTCTGCTGTTGTTGATATTTATTGGAGTTACATTTTCAATAGAATGTAAGATATGAAAATTTTTATATTGAACTCATTTCTATAATTGATTTAGCGGAAGAACCTTCAGAACAGGCATGTAAAATCAATGAAGAATATATTTGTGGACCAACTTGTATTGAAACTTGTGATTATAAACCAGAAATTTGTGTCAAAGATTGTCGATTCGGTTGTTTTTGTAAACAAGGATATGTACGTCGATTAAATTCAACTGATAGTACATGTATTAACCGTGAAAATTGTCAAAAAGAAAAGTCTAAAAAATGTTGTAAAAATCAAGAATATCTTACATGTGGTTCAGCATGTCCTCAAACATGTAATGATTTCTCTTATTCACTTCCAAAATCAGCTAAAGCATGTATAGAATTATGCATGGAGGGATGTTTTTGCAAAGAAGGTTATTATCGCACTGATAGAGGTAAATGTGTTGAACCAGAAAAATGTTGTAAGAATGAAAATGAACATTATACAACTTGTGGTACGGCTTGTCCAGAAACTTGTGAATATCAACCGCGTGCATGTACTAGACAATGTGTTGAAGGTTGTTTTTGTATATCGCCTGATTATGTTCGCAAAGATAATAGTACGAATAGTCCTTGTATTAAACGAGAACTGTGTTCTATTAAAGTTAATTAAATAAAAATAATAATATCAACATTTATCAAATAAAATTGTTTTCTTTTAATACAGTAATTTTTTTATTTAATCAGTAGCATACACTCGATCAGTAATATTAATTATATCAAGAGATTAGAAGATGACGAAGAAAAGTGCTATACTCTTACTCTTTGTCATATAATTGATAATGATATATTTTCGACGAGGATTAGATTCTTTATCATGCTATTAACATATTTCTTTCGATGATGAAAAAATTAAGATGACTAATGTCATACAATCAACGATGTATTTATGTGCTCACATTTTTCTAGTTATGAATAATAACAATCATAATCAAGTAGCATTAAACATTAAATTATACTATCAATCTTTTCTTAATAAAACTTTGAAATATGATATATGATGTTGTTTAAAGTATTGATAAAATACAAAGAAGAAAGAAAAAAAAATATTTTGAATTATCAATAAATTCCTTCGTCTATGCTCTAAGTCAATAAATGTGAGGACATGCTCGACTTGAAGCACATTGATCATAATCCAACTGCTGCTGACCCATTCTTGCTGTGCGACGTCATATGCAACGGTACAACGGTAAGATGATGATGTTGTTGCTGTTTTTGTTCAGTGATTTCAGAGATATTAATTGGTAATAAAGGAACTTTTTTTTCGTCTTCCGCTCGACTTAGTGATGCGAAGATACTGCTGATAAACTCATGATCTATTCTAGTGCGTACACTAGATCGATCTTTTCTTGATATTAAATGTTCTCTATACATCGGCGAGGTACCCAAATAAATATAGGCAGAACATAAATAGTTGACGTAAGTAAGTAAATAAATTGATTGTGAGATCAGCTGTTCCCATGCTATTCGCACAGGACTCTTGTTTATATGACGAATATTTAACTGATACATCATAAGCGATGCATAGGGTGCACTACTAATTAACATGGTGACAATCTGCATGAAGAGCATTGATGTGAACTGTTCGTTTGCATCTTTGATCCGTAGATAAGTTTTGCACGAAATCGGTGCTGCTCGAGATCGATAACGTATGATACGTAAATTACGTACGGTGAGCCAAGCAAATATTGTAACGAAGATTGGTGGTACAAATCCGATTACTATGAGCGTGTAAACAATAGTAAGTGTCGTGCAAATAGTATTCTGATCTATACATGCAGAAGCTTGAGTAATGCTGTAACAGGGAAATACAAATAAGCATACTGAACAGCAAATGATTATGCAGCCAAGTATAGTATAGCACACATTCTTAGGTTTGCTGAACCGACGCCACTGACTTTGACGATTGCACGTCGATGCATATCGTTCGCAGGATGCAAAGGTAAGAAGTATCATATAGAGTGTGATAAGTACATAGGCTATATAGTATCGTAATTGGCATATGATTGGAAAAATGATCAACGGATCCCAATGGAAACCAACTTGAAGAATGCGAATGAGAAGACTATTATGAATATGCAAAATATCAACAATATTAAGAGCTAATAAAAATAGACAGCATGGATTTGAACGAAGTGATGATTGCGAAAACACATAAGTGTTTAATAGTGCACCGACAAATCCAAATCCATAAAAACTCATGCCTACATAACGTGAGGAAAGCGTTGTCAAACTATTCAACAAGATAATGGTATGCGTTGCTTCGGCTGTATCGTTTACCGTAGAAGGATTACTACAAAAGAAAATTTTATTCTTAGACAATGTATTTAGCTTTAAAATATAACATTTTACGATATTGAATGAAAAATATTGGTTATCGAATAAAAAAACTAGTTCAACTAATAGTACAACATCTTTCAAGTAGAAAAGTTTCAACACTAAAAGAATAATTCAGTCGTTAGAAAGTAATTTTTTATGAACTCTTTGTTTAAGCACGTGAAGACATCTTATAACAAAGACAGTATTCGATCTAATACCAAGTCATATATCAACTAGTTAACGTTAGAATGATAATTGCGATTAGTACCTGCTAGCACATATTAATCGATATTCAACTTACACAAGTACCATTATTTTGTAAGTTGTAGATATCCTTGACAATCTATGCTATTGTCATTCAGCAAATATACATAGTGTCGTCCGCTGTGAATGCATTTATATATATATATATATATTGATAATTCCATTGGCGTGATTAATTATTTTTTCTTATCTGTGCTTGACGTTTCAAGGAAAAGAAGACATAAAGTATATAACTCAATATTTTTCGATTATATATATATAGTAATTGAAAAGAGCTTATCTGTTTTTGACAAAGCACGCGATTATTCTCAAGTCGTATAAAAATGTATGGATATCATTGGTTCTATTTTACTAGATGAATATTAATGAACAGGTGCATGCTGGATTATAGTCTAATAATACTCCCTTCTGTTCTATTATAACTATTTTCTTTCTATACTGCGTATTTTTATACTATTCACTGTATTAATCGTGATTATTTTTTATATGATCTTTCTTTACATTTGTTTACCTATTCATTTTAGTTAATACTACATGTAATAGAATATATAAAAAAAGTGTATTTAAGAAAAAAACTATGTAAATGTAGAACGACTATACACCATTCAAATTTTTTTTCTAGTACTTAAACAACAATTATACAAGTCGGGTCTACAGATATCGTTTAATGACGGTTGACATTTTGGTTTTCTAAAAAAAGGTATGATATTAAAATATTATATTTTTAAACTTTACTAATGCGAATATATTATACGACGAAATAAAGTATTTAATCGCCTTATATATCGTTATAGAAATATTTATAAATAATGAATATTATTTTATCGGCTATAAGTAGTCAAATCAAAGAATTATAATTCTATTTATTCGGATTAAGTAAACACACGTCACTTGAGTATTTTTAGCATGAAACCTATTTTAAGATTATGTTATATCTTTACTTTCTTCTTCTGCTATGTTTCAAAAAGCAGTGGTTTCTTTCACTATCTAAAAGATTAGTTTCAAAAGCCTATGAATAGGATCGTTCATCTGAGAAATATGAATAAGAACGAGCCTAAATCACGATATTATTATTTATTAAAATCTTATGTACAAAACATCAGTTGTTTTTCATAGATTGAATTGCAGTCGTATTGGTAAAAACAGGATTTCTGTATGTGCTAGTGTAATGTCTATTATTCTTTTGTTTCATTGATAATAGATGATTTTTTCGATGATTTATATAACGAAATAATTTCTTTAATTCATTCCTATATAATTTCGATGATAAAGTATATACATAGAAACTTGAACAATGATAAAAATAAAATAATATTTGCGTAATTGTTAATATTAATATCATTTGTTCGGTTAACTTAGTAATAAAGAATGTAGATACAGTATAAAATATTGATATTGGTATGACACAAATAAAACAGACGAATACTTGAATAAACAGCATTTTCATTAATTCTATATTTGTTCGTTGTTGTTGACTCTGAACGATAGGTAGAACACGTCTACGATTTTGTTTGACATTAAGCAAAATTAGAGAGTGAACAGTTGGATGATCGAAGCGTTTTTCGAGTAAATATAAATATATTAGTAAAATTACCTATAGTTCCAAGAACTATTTCAATAGGTAAAATATATTGAATAAGTTGTCTCGATACTTCAATTAAATTTAACATATTGATGATAATTGTATATAAAAATTTTTTTCTAAAATTATATCTTTATGATCATTTTGATGAAGAACATAATTAACGGATCTATCATATATGGCAGAATGATTGGTATTTTTAATCAAATAAAACTTCTTTTTAACTACCTTTATTAGGTTCAACGCAAAGATGGTTTCTGTATAAATAATGAATATATACTGTCAGGTTTTGCTTTGATTTTTGAAAAACTTTATATCAGATAATTAATAATCAGATTTTCAACTTTACTTACATGTTGCACACAATTTAATTCAATACTGAGTGAAGAATATGTTCCTTATAAAAAATATCATTCTTTTTTAAATTTTATATAGTAACTAAAAATAAAAGTAGTAAATAGACTCTCTACTAAAGAATATAATATTTGTTTTCTTACAATATACTTTTTTCATTTTTCAACACTTTATAATAGATAATTTCCGTTCTGTAAATTTAAAACGAGTCTATTTTAGACTTTAACAAACTGGGTATTCCGTGCTGACGTACTATATGCGAGCATTGCCATACTTTTAAGTATCTGTACTGTAAAAGTACAAAAATACTTTGATTAGTTGTCAGACCTCGTATCTTTTAAATATTATTAACACACTTGCTTATATAGATTTTCCGTTTCAATTGAGATTCTATTATTTCATCGCTTTTCAGTTCTCATTAATGATATGTTCATATATGAATTTTTTTTCCTCCTCGATCATTCTTTGTTAGTGATAAATATATTTATTTGGACATGACTTTAAAACGATTGTATCAAGATTTTTGTCTTATTATTTCAGATAATTAATATAAAAACATTTTAACAAAAACTTATAATTTTATTGAATAAGAAAAAAACATCAGTTGACTAGCATAATAGCTTTTTCTTGTGTAAAATAAAATAACAAACAATTAAAAATAAAAATATCTGTGAATCGAAAGTAGCTAACTTGAACAAGAGACAAATGAGATATTTATCTACAATAAAGTTTGATTAATAACTAACAATAATAACATTTTGTATTATGGTAAGTATAACTTATATTCATTTTGTCAAAAACTTCAACAAATAAGTAAAAACATCGAGTTTTTTCTATAATTTACTAGCTGTAATTATTTTATTTGACTTCTTCTTGAACAAAATCATCAGCAATATACGAGAAACTCTTACTAATTCTACTTCATATTAGTTTCCTTTTCAATAAAAATTTTACTAATCGATTTATATATTAAATCCGAATAATCTTTGCTCAGTTATGGTTTCATATGAAAAGGAGAAATAGTGTAATTACATTCATTATATCATCAGTAATGTCAAACTTGAAAAGTAAATTCAACCATTTACCTACATCCTCTCTAGCGAAATGACTATGATGCTTGGTCAACATAGATCTATGATGATATAATTAATATTTCGATTTGACTGAATGATTTATTTGAAAACTTATTAAATTTTTGTGTAGTATCCAGCAGATTAAAATCGTTAACGAATATAAGAAAAGATGAATAATAAGACTTTTGAATTATTTTGAGCATATAATTTTATCAAAGTTACATTCTCGTCGATAAGATTCGTTTGATAATTTCGGTGAAGTAAATACGGTAAAACTTGAAGTCCAATCGTCACGAAATTGACATGTCACAAACCAATGTTTCTCTTCGAGCCAGAATGAAGTTCGAAATGCAGCTATTACTTTATCAAAAATTTCCCAATCAGTACAATAACAAAAAATACAAAATTCAAATTGATTGAGTCGAGGTAATCGAAATCGAATAAATTCTTCCCATCGAGATAAACGTTGAACAAATTCGAATGGTTTTCCCGAACTAGTTAGATCGAAATGAGTAAGTGATGGGAGAAATGAAAGAAAAAATTCAAGTTTATCCATTGTCATCTGCATATCATTAATTGTTAAAGAATTTAATTGTGTATAAGTGTTTAATAGAAAATTTTCATCAAATCCACTAATTTGACAAGTATCTATAGTTAAAGTATGAAGATAAGGTGAATGTTGAAGAATAGAACAGAATTGTTTAATAGTACATGTACCACACGAAAGATTGGTAATCATAGATTGAGATGGCCATAAGAATTTATCTTTATTACTAAGATTAAAATTTAATACAACATTATGAAGACTAGGTTGTGCAATAATTGAAGAAAGAATTTTTAATGCATTATGATTGTCTTGCAAAATATCAGAATAGATGAAAAATGATGTCAATTTACAGTTTATTGAAATATGATGTAAAATAATATTTAAATTAGTATCATTAATATGACGAATACTAAATGAACGAAGTCGAGTAAATTGATAAATGTCAGTAATCGAGAGGAATAGTTCGATCCAATTATTTGTATTTTTTTCATTCTCAAAGTTCAACGATATAATATTTCTAGGTGAAATAATTCGACAGATATTTATCGTTGACGTAGAATTGCAATGAATTTTATATCGATTATATGTTTCTGTAACGGCAAATAATTGTACACAAACATAACGAAATGAAAGAACGATTGTTTCAGTATCGAGAAAATCACAAATTCGATAAAGAAGTTCAGTTGGCAAAGTTAGAAGAGAAACTAGATGTTGTTCAGACGTCATTACTGTCGTACGTTCTGTTGAAAGAAATTATTAAATATGTGATGAATTATGCATGTAAATAACTAACCGAGAAAGTTACTCTAACGACTATTTTTTTCTTTTTTCCTCAAAAGCGGAGAATTTTTTGCGTTCTATATTTTCATTTAGACGGCGATTTATCGTGTTGATTACGAGTAGAAAATGTAAAAACAACATTCAGTAATGCATATATTGAATGTTATATTATCTTAAATTTCTTTTCGTCAAGACAATGTAAAAGAAAAGTAAAGAAATATTTTTTTCAGTTCTTTTAAGAGAATATTTCTACATTGATTGGTTCTTCTCTTTTTTGCAGATAAATGCGCTTGCACTACTGCGTTTTTAATAAAAGAAAATTATCGCCTAACGTATTCTTTGAAAAGAAATTGTTTATTATCATCTGTTATTTACCAAATTATTCCTATTATAGTCTTATCAAATTTTATATGTAAATACTACATACTCAGCAATTAAAACTTATTCGAATTTTTAAAAATATAGCTGAAGATGTTGAATAACTGATAAATGAAATGCACTAGTTTCAGTTTTATCAGATTATATTCTTCTATAATATTGAAAAAAATGATGTGTTTTAGAATCATTCATTAAATAAAAACAAACTACGAATATTTGTTAAAGAATTAGATTAATATATTTACTTAATACGTTTCTCGATTCTATATATATAATATACGAATGTAAAAAATATCCTTTTAAATCATTGAATTAAACTGATAAAATATTTTCATTTCATAATATATGTAATATAATTTAGTTATAATAATAATTTCGTACATTTCCTAATTCAACAACAAACCCAACCACGGTTACTGAAATTATAATAACTTTGCTCTTATGTTTTTGTCCCTACTATCCTTTTCTTTTATGTTCTTGCATTCTCTTTGACGGATAGGTATATAAGTGTATGCTTTGTATGAAACCGATGTGATTCTCGATAAGAAGAAATAGAATAAAGTTCAATACCATCTGCACAAACACTTCTTTTATCAGAAATCGGTACATTTCTTCCAATATATGCATGTATCATCACTTATTTAATTGTTTTTATGCCTATCAATAACACGTCACATCTGGAGATAATTTAATACTAAATATATATAACAATAGTAATGTGTTGTGCGTCAGATAAGATTCTACTTAAATGTAGAAAATGTTCTTGACGTCTTTTATAATATTTTTCAAATCATCATAGATAAAATAATTGAAGTGCAAACAGTAAATATATATATATAGCTAATAGCTTTGCATATAACTAATAAAAAGCATTGTCATTCATACTATGAGCAACATGCGTTCGATTATCCTTGGTTTTCTACTTTTAATCTTTTGTCACTTGACAATATCGAAATGTATTCATTGTAAGTTTCATTTTCTTTTATGTAAAAATACATCATTTAAATAAATTTAGCTGGTGAATGTCCCACTTATAAGTTTCGTTGTGCCATTGCTTGTCCAACGAATACTAAGGAAGAGATGTGTGCAAAAGATCCTCTATGTTGTATCAAGGATAGTCAATGTGCACGACATCAAAAATGTTGTGCACCATCATGTGGTTGTTACAATCGTTGTACGAATGTGACAGTTGTAAACAATTAAATTATTAATATATCTAATTGTATTATGGGCTATTGATGTCAATAATAGAGGTGCTGGGCAAAATACAGCGTGATTATAATAAATTAATTGAAATACTTCAAAAATTGTTCTTTTTTTTCTCTTGTTGGATAAAATAATCTTAGACATAATCTTACAAATATATACAATTTGCTTAGAAATACTTTCAATTTGAGAAAGAATTGATTCATAATTAAGAGAAAGTATGGAAATGACTTTGATTATACACAAATAAAAACTCGGTATAGTGTGTTTCGATTTCTTCGATACGCAAGTGACTTCAATGATTTATATTGTTCGTCTGAACGATTGATTATGTTCAGGTCAATCTTTTTAAGAAACGATACAAACCGTTCTGTTGTAATTGTATGTAGGTGGGTGTGGTTATGAATAGAAAAGAAAAAGGAACATACACCCACACTCACACCCTTTTTCGAGTCGGCTGTGCTTCTTTATTCGAATTCTGTTCTTTCACCATGTTGAGTAATAAAGTGACGGTAAGATTACTCATATGAAATAACATATCACTTTTTTAGAAATGATAATTTCTGTATAGTATGAGAGAAAAACGACTTATACATCCACATCCAGTCCAACTCATTGTTTCTCGAGCTCAGGAGACGCTCGAGATATGCATTAACCCCTTAACTGTTATTGACGTATATATACGTCAGGGCAATCATTTTAGATCAGACTTTCAGTTTTGGGCTTATTGGAATAGAAGTAATTTTTCTAATTCACTATTGTGATATTACTACTATGTATGTTCTGTATATAGAATGATAAAACATATCTGTTCGTAAAAGCTTTGCTTTATCCTTAAATATCCTCCAATTTCTAAAAGGTATTTTACGACAGTTTATCGTTTAGCTTCAAAAAATTTAACAGTTAAGGGGTTAAGATATGAAAGAACAAAGATAAGGAGTTTTTGTTGGACAGTAAATCTTTCCAATTGCACGAAGATTAGTCATCGACGATCGAAACAGGTAACAAACACTGTTTGGTTTTTCTTTTCTGCATTTACCTTTGCAAAGTATCACGCCACAGCACACCTATACTCCCACATACAAAAAAAGTTAAGCAGACAACGATATTCGCTGAGAAGCAAATTTCCAACAATGACTCTTCAACTGAATGTTCACGGATCTACTCCTATCACAGTGGAGACTTATAAATTCCTTCTGTGGCTGCCAATGTGTGTTTTTTCTTACATCTTTGATACTAGTGATTGTACTCAATCTTTGTGCAAAGACAACTCGTGATTGGATTGTTCTTCTGCTGTCAAGTCGAGCGTTTGAGGAAGTATCTACTGGCAAATGGATCGAATTATCGGATCCGTCTCAACACCCTTGTCGTCTTGTAACAGGGACACTGATACCAGCACATACGAAGCGTAGTTTTTATCGTCACTATTCATGCTCTTTGCCCGGCCATCTCGTTCCACTGCATATGCTAATCAATCGTATTATGCATGTGTATTAAAAAGCGACAACGAATCCCATTGTGATATCGATCTAAAAAGTTTCTGTTTGGTCAACTCTACAGATGCCTTATCTACAGCACTTGTTTGCACGAGATATCTGTACAGTAGAACGCACGTTATTGTTGTTCTATCGAGAATCTATGGACTACACAAAGTCATGGCATTGATGTTCGTTCTCTATATCCGTTGGACTCAATGCTGCACACGTCATCAGGACAAAATGTGCCAACCATCTCCAACTGGTATTAAATCAAAGCTTTAGTCGCACCTCTACTTCTTATCTTACCCTGGTGGATTCTTACTTATGGTTTCAGGATTTTTTTAGCTAGGATTCTACACGCAAGAAGATTGTCAGTCATTACTCTATAGTCTTACTAATCAGATTTCCACGATCGTGTTCATTACATTCACGTGTATGAGTGTTAGCATGATGCGGAAGCCGGAGCACAAGGAAATACGTCATCAACCATCATTCAGCCATGTTGTGTGTGATACATCTCGCGAAATCAGAACTAGTTGGTGTGGTTGTGAACATACTGACGATACATAGATCCGTGTGATGAGTGATAACAATTGGTCGGACAAAAATAACTGAGAAAGAGCCCTTGTTTGCGAATCACTCGAAGCAATGATTGATTTATTTCTTGAAGGAATGACAAATGCACTATTGAGGATATAGAGGGTGGGTGTGGCTGTCGGTATGAATGAGAAAGAAGAAGAGCTGTACATCCATATTCTCATTAGTCTCTCTGCTTCATGTTCATACTCATATCCTACTGAGAAAGATATACAAACTAACAGGACTTTATTGAAAAAAATTGATTTATAGGTATAGTATTTGTTAGGAATAAGTTTTATTCTTTTATTGTCTTGTTAAAAAAAATCTTTATATTTAAAAAGTAGTTGTAAATAGGAATATCAATCATTTATAGAAAACCATTGCCATTAGAAGTGCTAATGTATAATGAATGTAAAGGATCGGTTTTGCCATATCACTTGATGAGGGTGTTGATGTGCTTGTACTCATAGTAGTAGTAGTTGTTGTTGTGATGGGCATCATCAATTCTCTAGTTTCCAACAAATGTTGTACTTCCTTGGCCATGGCGACATTGTTACACATCGGCTTATTACATGTGTATGTGATGGATGATTTGATACCTTGTCCTGGCATTGTCTTTGATTCTAGCATGACACCGTACGAATTGTCTATCACACCCTTAGGAATACAACCACGAGAAAATGTCAAAAAATCACTACTAGTTAATTGACAAGAGCCTTGAGGACAAGGCATGGATTTATCTTCATCGTCTGCACATACTAGTTCAGCAGGTTTGCTAGTAGCATCATACAAACGTGTGAGAAGGTTGGCCCATAGTTCTGTATACTGAAAAAGTCGCACTAAACAGAGAAAATATGGAATAAACATATCGCATGTAAACAATGTTTGTTTTAGTTATTTAAATCCATGAAAAACAATCACGTAATGTTTCATGCCTGATTACTTTGGAAATTAAGTTCGAAAGTTGTATCTATCTTCACAACAACACTTACCTTCAGCATAAGTATGATTGATGGTATCTTTTTCACATTGGGTGCTGTCGAAACAATCGATTTGAAAGATTCTTTCTAATTGAAATTTAGTAAGCCAAATTAAAGTAGTATTTATCATAATTTGTGCTTCATTTGTCAATACCAATGGTTCCTCAGCACTGGCTCGTAAAACTACAGAAGTCTCATTTTTTACATATCGAATATGTAACCGTTGCGAACAACTTGCATACGGAGCATCTACGAATTTACAGTCAGATATATTGGTGTTAATATCTGATACTGTTAGATCAAGTTTTTGATCGCAGCTGCGACATTGAAGAGACAATACTCTACAAATGTAATGTAAATATAAGATGAATATAACTTGCAATATCATGTTGCTTTTAAATAATAAAGCGAGTTCGACGATTTGTTTCTCTCTTATATAAAAGAAAGAATCGTTAACACCGCTTGTTCATAGAAAAAAGAAATCCTATATGCAAACATTTACCAATGCATACACGTAGATATTCATATACAAAAGATTGTGATGTGAGATTTTAAGATTTATGAAACGTCGATTAATATGATAAAATCACGATTATATTTCAACGCTCTTATCATTAAAACTGAAAGATTTATATATTTACCTAAGTAATCTAATGTAAATTTGCATATCAATTAAATAAGAACTGAATAGTCTTCTTACGAAAATAACTACAAAAACCCTCCTTCATTATTTGACTATAGGAGACGTCAACAAAACAAATCTTTTTTCGTCACAAATTATACTAGTTTATACTTATAGTGATCATCTCATATTCACTTCTTTTTTTTTAATCATTTTCATAACTCGTCATCTACTTATACAATCAAATACTACTTACCGTATTGCAAAAAATTAAAGGAAATATACGTTTTTATCTGTTTTCTCATGTATAAACAATACCCACACCCTCTCAATTTGAATTTTTATAAATAAAATATAATAGAGGAAAAAACAATATTTTATTTTTTTGTTAAATAGACTAACATATAAATTTTATTGTTCACAAGTTTTTTTTCTTTATTGTATAAATATAATCGTTTTCAAAAATAAAACGCAGATTTTTTTTGTTTTCAAGTTATTACTCAATATATTTTGTATGTCAATAATATGAGTAAGATGAAAACAACATGTTTTACCCACTTTTCCTTGTTCTTCCAATGAAAATAAAGTAAAAATATGATGTAAATATGCCATTTCACTCGTTCGTATAGAATAGGTAAATAGTGGACTGGGAATTTTTTTAATATTACAGAAAATACGATGAACCTATTCGTATCTTTTGACGTTTTTTTGTTCAGAATTATTTAAACGAAATACTAAAAAGATTTTATACATACCTATATACACTTTACAATTTAAAATTCAATAGTAACCATAAATAAATATTTTTTTTTCTATTTAGGATATGTATAAACAGAAAGGATTCTCAAATAAAGACAACAACAGCAATCAAAAGATTTATTTCGAAAATTTACCAAATGAGTTATTACTACAAATCTTATCTTACTTGAATATCACTGATATTTTTCGATCATTTCATGGATGTAATAAACGCTTTGATGATCTTGTATATGCCTCCGCTCGACACATTACTGTAACATCTGATACGAGCAATCAATGGCTTGCCGAACATATATCACAACTTGAATCTAAAATTGAGATAGTGAGTGTCAGCAATGAATATTTGGAATGTCTCTTTGGCAATCATTATTCGTTTCCAAAACTTCGATTAATTCATCTTTATGGAGATGAATGGAATATGTCTGTTAGAACTGAAGATACATCTACTTTGTTTGCCTTAGTGTCTTCTTTAAATGTTCTTCGAAAAATTTATCATCGGATAAAAGAATTTTCCATCAATGGAGAAAATTGTATTCGTGATGTAAGTGATTATTCTAATAGTTTATTATGTCCATTTATCGAACGTTTATCAATCAACATATGCTCTGCAAATCAATTATCTGTAATAAATGAATACATGCCAAATTTAACTCATCTGAAAATCGATGTTCTGGGACCAGATTGGGATGATATTATTAATTTGAAAAATACTGTTAGCTTCCAAAGAATGACACGTTTGGCTTATTTAAATATCACTATATACGAATCAATGGGCTTTAATTTATTTAAACAACTAATCAATAGTTGTCAAGCATCTCTTACGAATATAACAGTTAAAATTCAATGCAGAGAGTTAATGGATGGACATGATTTAGAACAAATATTCAAATCATGTGAAAAATTAAAGAAATTGGCATTTTTCATTGTATATCAAAATGTGGTAATTGATGTAAATGCCTGTCGCTATTCTTTTCAAAGTGAATGGTGGCTTGATATACGTCGTCCTGTAGTTTACATTCAACATAATAGTATTGGTGTTACAATAATTGCCTCAATGCCATGTCACTTTTCATTTGCTTTCAAAAATAATCTATATAATTGGTATTTTAATAAAGAAATTCAAAATTCATCACATATTCGTTTTACTAATATAAATGAAATTGATATTACTAATAATATTAATCAACTGATTACTCTTGAATATTTGTATGATATTGATCGTAAATTTTCTTCATCGAATCAATGTTTACGGTTTGATTTTTGTAATTTGGAATCAGTAGATATTATCTATGATCTTGTAAGTATAATAATAATAATTTTTATTTTGAATTTATTTCTATATGATAAAATTATTTTAGTTCATAGATGATACATCATTAATGTCGGTCTTACCTAATGTTAATCATTTTATTGTTAGTTCACAAAACATACTTGATTCAAAAATGTTAACTGTTTGGATTCTTTTAGCATCAAATCTTAAAATATTAGATATTTCTAATTTAACTACATTTAATAAATTAGAATTACCAAAAGAATTAAATGATATGATTACTAATGAGAAATGTTTACAATCAAGTTTTAATCGTATTAATAAATTAATTATTTTTAAGACAAGTATTATTGTCTGTGAACAAACAAAACAAGAATTAATAGTCACATATGAAAAAGTTTTTCCTAATGCAAATATTTGTTAATTCAAAGAATTTTAACATGTTTAATTTTTTATATCATTAAATTTGTAAGTAAAAAAATATCCATTGATTATTCGAAATATGCATTGTCATTATAATGTGTTTATGTGTTTTTTTCTGTTTCTTAATAAACGAGATATGAATGATTGCTTCAGATTATAATTGAAGGTGTGGATCAGTTAAAGATAAGTACAACACTCATAACCATCAATTCAGTCAAAAATGGTGAGATTATTCCAAATATAGTTTCTCCAGTATCAATAATAAGCATTTCATAATATCTTTTCCAGTTATAGTACATGCTTTAGTATTCTAGTTATAATTTATAAGGATAGATGAATCTAAAAGATGAATACAACACTTATATCCGTCAATCATTAAGTTTGTCGATTGCTAGGATTGACATTGTGAGGAGTCGGTTTACAAAATATCACTATACGAAGTTTCTGTTTTAGTTTATGTAAAGTTATAGCAGTAGCATAAGGTAAAACCATTGCTGGAACATTTGACATTTGATTGACAATAAGATCAATATTCGTGCCGGCACTGGCAACTCCTATTCTTCGCAGAATATTGTCAATGCTTAAAGGAAGATCAAGAATTATAAAAGTAGCAGATATAAAGACGAATTGCAGAATCATTTTTCGATTTTGTCTCCATGCATTACCACGTTGTAGACGACGTTTCTGTATGATGACTCGAACAAGTAGATTACCACTAATAATTACAATGAGTGGGACTGGAAGACTACTATGAAAAATCGTCACATACCAATGAAGCGATTGTGTAAATGAACATGTATAATATGGACCACCACATACTAGTGTATAAGCATCATACATGCGTTCACATGGATAAATAAATGTGATGTAAAAATAAAAAACTGGTGCATAAAGAGCAAAAATAGCAAGTGGTATATAATGAAATAGACAGCGTCCACGTGCTGTACGAGTGAAACTTGAATGAAATATTAGAATATGTCGTTCCAATGATAACCAAATCATTGAAAAAATAGCAGCATACCATATTCCATAGTTTACAAACTGATGAACGAGACAAACAGCAGGAGTAAATGGTATATAGACGCCTCGTTTCATAAAACTCAATATTAATGGCATGTCTGTTGTAAGTGATATAAAATTGAAAAATAACATGACCAATGTAGTATGATTGTACAGAGTTGTACTTGCTGTTTTGTGGGTCAACAGATGATAGAAGACAAATAAATAGCAAGGGAAAGTCATTACTTCACCAAAAATATATAATCCAAACACAATATCAGACCAGTTAGATGGAAGATAAATATCTTTAACACTAACTTGGTTCATTTCAGTATAGTTGTTAACCATTGTAAGAAATACTTGTTCGAAGAATCTTTTGAGAAAGAATTTATATTCATCTTGTATCAAATATATTAACGTGCTTGAATACATTTTTTTTCTTCTATATTTCATCATGTGAATAAAAAACAGATGCTTCGTTGCACATATAAATTTATCAGTGAGATGACAACATAATTCATCTCCGAAAAGAAATAAATTTTTGTTTTTTTATTTTTCTCTTAATTTAGAAAAAATAAGTTTTTCAAATAATAATAACAACAATCATTATAGTTTATTAAAAGAATTTAAGTATTCAAAACTAATGTTGATATATACGTCATTCAAATGAATTGTAACAAATGAAGTACGTCAGACCCTATACTAAATTTAAATCCATTCTTTATGCTCATTTAATGTGTTTATATCATGTTTTTTTTCTAATTTTCATGCATGTTTGAACAAAGTGACAACTAAAAAAATGCCACAAAAATCAGGTACTTATTACTCAAAACTAAAATATTTTTCTGAATTCATTTTATGATATACATGCGTGTAATTAGTTGTGACTGTAAAACAAGATCATACGATTTGTTCATGTTCTCATTTGGCTTCATATAGGATAGGAAAACAAAATTGTAAACACCACCACGAGATGATTTTAATGATATCAAATAGCAAAATGTTTTCTCTATGAATAAATGTTGAAAAGTGCGAGAACTTATTGACTGACCTATGCATATAAATAGATAATCTTGTAATTTCGTAGGCATAACTATTGATTAAATTAATTGGATTTACAATATGAAAATTAATACAAATTTATGTAATCTTAAACGTTTACTGCGATGAAGAACACTAGGTACTGGGAAGTAGTTTCCACGTAATTTAAAAAAGTGAATTTTTTAGCTATTCAACAGATTCATCTATCCAGAAATTTTACTCTTTGATTTTGATTCACGTGTTCAACAACATGCTGTCCCATCTTGTATATTTGCAAGTACTATTTTTTCAAAAATTTTCCATGACGATTTCGACTGGCAATCAATAGCTTCTGAAGAACATCACAATGCTAATGAAGTTTTTGATAGTAACAACGTAGAGCAACCTGATCTAAATGTGTTTAGTTTTAGAAAAAGTCAATCACCATCATGCTCGCCAAGAACATCAAGTATTAACATTATAAGTGACGAAGAAAATGAAGAAAAAGAAAATAACTCGAGTAATTTTCATACACATACCATTTTAGAAATAGTTTTACTTCTTTCACTATTCCGACGTCGTCATTCACTGTCAAAGTCATGTATTACAGATATATGTTATCTATTACGTCTCCTCGATGGAAAAAAAACCCATTTATAACAATGGTTCTTAATTCTGATGGTATTTTAGTTAGAAAGAATATCACGGTCATCATGGATTTCCAGCATGATAATCAATGAGTTGCCATATAATACTCGTTTTCTACAACTAAATATGATTATTAGAATCATTTCTTACAGTTCACAAAAGCCAAAACGAACCGAATTTTCTCCATTGTTAGATATAGTTAATGAGTTAGAGCGTGGAATTGATTTATGTTTGCCATCAAGAGATGGACTGCGTTTTTCGTTAAATTTTGATATCACTCATATTGCCGTATCTCTACTTGCTATTATTGCGGACAAGCCCGCTCAAGCTCTAATGCAAAATGTAATTGATAGTGGTAATTTTTATTTTACTTCTTTTTAATAACTACGTGTTTTTTTTATACATTTAAGTGAAAGTGTGCTTACAGGCAAAGGACACAATCGATGCTTTCCATTGTATTCAGTCAATCCACCTGAACTTCGTTCAGACAAAAATTATATTACAATTGTGCAAATCGTGAAAAAATTATACAATTGTACATCTTAGGTTTTTATTCACAATTTCTTTTTATTATATAATAGAGTAAACAATAACATGCACGTTGCAATTCTTTAACAGGTGTCCATGAGGATATTGAATATATTACTCAACCACACCCACATCCTCACGATGCATAGTCAAACGATGAAATTGGTAACGTTGATAAATGAAAAAGATGAAACAAGTTTATTTCTGTGATATAATAAAGATCGCCAAAAAAAATTTGCTCTTTTATTACAAAAAAAACTTATCGTATTATCTATCGACGAAGAGGTCATATCGTCATTTATCCATATATTCCAAAAAACTGGCTTTATTGAATCAGCTCCAAAATGTCACAAGCGTTTGAATAATGGTTATGCAATTTTTTATAAAAGAATTCGACTTGTGCAACATACATTGTAAAATTCTCATTTCTTAATTAATAGCGAGATTTACATTTATCTTAATTTTAGAGATTAATTCATTGATTCAGCTGTACATGATGATGAAAATGAAGATAGTGAAAATAAATATGTTGATGATAATAAAAGTAATCAAAACAGGTTAGCAACTTTTAAATATTATCCTGCTTTCTGATCACTTTGATATATTATTTATATATATATTTATGTGTATAGTAATGTACTCAAAACTAGCAAAATATTGAATAATAATGATAGTTCATCAGCGTTACCATCACTACCTCAATCATCTATTAAAACACGTTCTAAAGCTAAACTTAATCAAAGAGGAAAAAACGAAAAATTTATTAGTAATTGTTTTATTTAGTAAACTTGTTATTGTTTTTGTTGTGTAAATGTTTTTGTTGCACTGTATCATTTGTTATAATAAAAAAATAGTAGATATAAAATGATAATCAATGTCTTTTATTGAATGCGAATCGACTTTTTATCAAAAAGAGATGCATTACAATTTATTTAAAAAATGCATTTTAGTAAAAAAAAAGAAAATTTCCAATACATCGGATAATAGTACATGTTTCATAACGTCAGATTTCTGTATAATTCATCTACAGAAATTATACTTATTTTCTTACTTTAATTAAATCGTATATAGAATGCTTTCACGGAACAGATTAATAGCGCTTTTAGTGCGCTAAATGTTTATCAACACATTAGCCAATCAGAGCACTCGAATTCTTCGGCTTCAACTTCGACCAATTATCATTTGAAACTGAGCCGCGTAATTATCTGAGACAAATTTTTGCTCAATTAGAAGCCAAAGTTATGATAGGCATGCTTGTGCAATGATGCAATTTGGAGTTAGAATCTAGTTAAAAGACTGTACCTGATTTTTTCTATGTTTGTTTATATTTTACACAAGACTAATGTATTTATTTTAAAATCATTTTTTTTGTAATGTCACATAAATATAAGTATACCATGTCATGATAATCGATGATTAAATTCGACTGACTTATGTAGGATGATGTTTCTGTCCAATACTACCGTATGTAGTTATATTTGTATGTGCAGAATTGTGTAAGTGTTCAATTTAGATCTAGAATAAAAACATCTTGTTAGAAAGTCACGCGATCTATTATTATCATCTTTCACTTTTGCGCGTTCTTCTATATTTTGTAATTTTCTTTTTCTTTCCTTTCGGATAATAACATATCTTATATGTCGTTCATTTCCTAAATATAGTCACTGCTTTCTTGTTAAATGAAGTGTATATACGTCAACGACTTCTCTCTGTAGATTCTAGCTCTCTTTGCTTCAATAAATATTGCAATTTATTATGGTAATGTAAATGAACAACACAAGGACACTACAATATCAAACAAATTTATTGTTTATATAGTTGTTCGATTTCGATCATTTATATCGCTGGCACTACCACTATATTTTGTTGTTTGTTTATTATTTTCAGAACGGATGCTTTAACGGGATCTGTAAATCTGAATAAAGCAATTATAATCAAAAGTAATGATATATCGACAAATGTAAAAGCAATACGAAAATGATATTTTGGTGGTTGAGTAAATAATCCCATAATTACGAAAATTAAATAAGGCAAACCAAGTATATTTAAGATTAATACAATAATAACTATTCGAAAAACCATTCGTAATTCTTTTTGTGCACGCGATACAGTGTTTGCATGTGTCGTACGTCTGTTTATTTGTTTAACATAACGAACCAATTTGAAATAGATAAATATAGTAGAATTAATTGGTATTATATAGACATACAGTACATCATAAATTAATATAATAGAAACATGAAGATACAATTGACATATTTGATCATCAACATGATATCTAATCTCACCAGACGGTATATATGGAGAAGTACCTACGAAGGCAGCTATCCACGTTAAAATAATGAGGAAAAATTGAAATTTTGTTGATTGCCATAATAAACGAGTGGGGTAAACAACCAGCATATACCGATAAATTGCTTGTAATAAATAAGAATAAAATAATGCACAAACACCAGAATAACTAATATAAGTTCGAAGTTTACAAGGTGGATCTTCATATTGAATTTGTTTAAGATCATTGTGAAGTGAAATGATAGTCATCCAAATTAAAGTAAACGTAAAGAAAAGACCAGCAAAGCATGAATTAGCAGCAAGCATCATTGCAACTGTATGACATGTTTTATCAAGTAAAATAATACATAAAAATACTAAACTCAATATAAAAGCTAAGGTAAGGCATACAATCAATATAATATCGAGAGGAATAAACCATGATTGATTATTTATTGCTATAGAATTAGAATCGTTTGGTAAAGAAAAGAAAATAGTTGTAGTGTTCATTTGTGAGATGATGGAAAATAAAAAGTAAGATAGATTTTTTTAATCTTATATGAATACTGTTAGTTCTGCTAATTATTCGACTAATTTTGTATGCTTGGTCGCGTTTCTATCGAAATACTAACAATTATTATAGCTTGAAAACTCTCTCTAATGATAATTATTACCTTTTCTTCAAATGAAGCATTCAAATCTAATGTTGTTTGAGGGTTGACGAGTTTGTTATATATATATATATCATAAGATATTGTGTAGAAAAGCGAAACTTGTTTTATTTTAAGAAACAATCTAGTAAGTCATAGAGAAGAAAAGGTATCGTTAGACATACTCTAGCAAAACACATTGTATAAAGTGCATTTCTTGAATTTTTGCGGTCATCAAACATCCAGAAATTTTCTGTTTCTTATTGTTTGAGCGTTCATTAATGATCTACGCAGGCCTCGCAGCCGGTATACTTTCCTGTTTTTTTCCTGTTTTTTGAAAAACGTCCTGTTTTTCCTAATTTCAGCCAAAAATCCTGAATTTCTCCTGATTTTTTATAATTCATTCGCATAGTCATTGTATTTGCCTTATCATAACATAATATAATATTCTTATCTTAATTTATTTTCAAAATGCATATTAAAACATCATATATTATACAATATCTTTAACAAAAGCAATATAATTTGTAAAAATAATGTTTACTTTCATCATTCATCATTCATTTTTTCTTTTTTTTTCTCAATCGGTTTAAATTTTCACTATTATCAAGTAATTGAGCTTTCAAAACAGATAATTTAGCATTAGCAGCGGTTACAAGTAATTCAGCTGTACCAACATCATTAAAATCTTTACTATTCACAGCTGTGGCAAGTCTTGTACTTCCTTCTTCCAACATTTTCATTGCACTCACTAAATCTTGTTGTAAAATGTTTTGTTAGTTTAATAAATCAATTTCTTTTTCTTCTACATGTCCATGTAGTGATCGGTACACTATTTTCTTCTTCCTTTAAAGCGTCGTGTCTCTGATATATTTATTATTGTTTTTTTTCTTGCTCCTCTCTATGATTACATTAGAGTATCTAACATTATCCAGTCAGATTTTTTTCTCATACTCCGATGGTTTTCCATCGTCATATACTTTGGGTAATGACATCGAAAAATACTATAAAAATAGTAAATAGTAAATGTAGATACTAACTATCATCATGTGTTAATGCTCGTTGTTCTTTCTCAACAATAACAAAAGATATTCTTGTTGTATTTCTATCAATAGATCCTGTACCTAAACATGTACTATTATCATTCTTATTTTTCGATAAAAGTAATGATTGATTATTTGATGCTGTTAGTAAAGTAAAATCAAGCACATCTTTCATACATTGAATATGTTATGACCGATTAAAATGCCTCTTTAAATTAGCCCATCCTCCATTAGTACAACTAAAATTACCTGAATTGCATACGATACATTGAAATGAACTGGTAGTTTTACCTTGTTTAAGCCATCGAGAATTCACTCTACCAGTGTTATCTGAGTTTTGCAACCATTTTGAACAAAACTTTATATTTGTCAGCATCAGAAAATATTTAGTCAAAGGGATACATTTTTCAAAATCAAGTCAATATAAGATAATAGTTGTCTTATATAAGCAGAGAATAAAAACACAATAAAAGTATGACAATAGAAGAGAAAGAAAAGAACTAAATAGAGCAGAACGAAAAGTATATAAACCTGAATAACACAATAAGTTTATATATGATTCATACTGTTTTAAATAACTTTAGTATTTACTTATAACAACCTATATTTTGATTGTTACAAGCTGTTATTATTGCACTTTCTTCGACGTCGATTTTACTCGAGAAAAGCAATATTAGAAGAAAGTTTACCTTTCCTAACTTTTACGAAAATTCCTCATTTAAAAAAAAAAATTTCCTGTCCTACTTCCTGACTTTGGAACACATGCCGCTGCGACCCCTGTCTACGATTCTTACTATTATATTTGATTTTTTTCTATGATCATGAATTGATGTATTTTATCAAATGTCAAAACTGATAAATATATTGTGAGGCTTGCTCAGAGAGAGCAGTCATGTCTTAGTGAAGATAGATGATTCTTTATGAAAACAACATGTTTATTACGGAACTCGAAACGACTTATATAGATTAAAATAACAGGGATAATTAGGAAGAGAGTCATTATATATGCTAAGAGAACACAGAATGAACTAGAGTCAGCTGATAACATACTTTTTAGATAGGAAAGAGAAAATGGCCTACATAAATACACGAAGGACGAATGAAAAATCACGATTATAATCTTTTGACTGAATCATAATCCCAAATCTCATAAAAATTGATTTGATTCGGTTAAATAAGATTTATATTATTAGTCCATTACAATTGAAGGAATTGATAAAAACTGAGAATGTTTTCTTTTTAATTCTTTGCTCTGATATTTGATGTTGCTCTTTTAAGTGTAGGTAGTTGAAACGGAGCTATTCGATTTTGTCTTTTCCAAAAAAAGATTCGATCTTTTATTTGTCGACGAAATCGACGTGATGAAATCATAAACATATAGCAACTTCCCTAAAAGAAAAAGATAGATATTCGAAAAAAAAATTAATAAACATACAACATAATTGACATAAGCTAATAGACTAAACATTGTCGATATAAATGATTCTTTTATTGTCCGATCTGGATCTTTACTAACTGAAGATGTAATCAAACCATAAACATTATTCATTCCGTATGGAGTTATGGAAATCACAACTAGAATTACTTGAATCAAAGTCATTCGTACTAACTGATGATCAGCTTGTTGCTCAGCAAGAACTCTTGTTAAATGAATATTACGATAAGTTAAATATCCAAATACAATCATCACTACGATTGGAATGACACAAGTAAGACTAAGAACATATATTGAAGCATAAATAGAATATTTAACATTGACGATCTGACATGTCTGTGTTATTGATGAAATATCATAGAATAAAATTTGAGGTATTCCATGTAAACACCATACAATGATAACAATAAACATAATCCTATGTGCCCATTTGATATTACTTAAACGACGAATATTAGCGTTTCTTGATGTAACTAGAAATTGATCAATTGAAGTCAGACATGAATAAGTAAAAGAAATTAATGTAAGGACATTTATGAGATATGCTCGTAGTTTACACCAGAATGTTGATGTAAGAGTTAAATCAATATGATAACCTGCAATGAATATACGAGAAACAAGACTAACTATCAGAACAATAATATTGTCTATTGAAGTTATAAGAAAATAAAATGTACAAGGAGTTTGACGATAATTACGAACACTTGTGAATATCGAAATATTTAATCCATTTCCACTTATTCCAGCAATGACAAGAAACCATCCTACGTAAATTGTAATTTGTTGACTAATGTATAACAATGACATGTCTCACTTGAATAAATAATAAAATACGTCAAAAATAAGAAGAATTCAAAGATTAACTCAAAGTTTATTTTGATAATAATGTTGCTGCGTAGTTAAATAAAATACGTTGAAAATATTGCTTACATTTCCATATATAATATATAAAAGGAAAACTACTCCAAGCAGTTTATAGAAAATAAAATAGATGTTAGACACTTTTCTTATTATTAATACCAACAGTCATTTAGCGATAAAGAAATATTTTTGATAAAAAAAAGTTAATATTAAAAGAAAAGAAAATACAAGGTGTGGACAAGTAGAAATTTGAGAAACATTTTTTTTCTTCCAATTTTTTTACATGATTGGATAGAGCTCGTCCGGTTACCGATAAAAATAATATACTTAATCTTGACTGTAAGTTCCAGAAATATTTTAATTGATGCTTCCGATACGGCTCGATATAAGAAAGAACTTTTAACGGATTCGTGGTTGTGAGTATAGGTAATCAATGGGAAGAGTATACACACTCACCCACAGAGAGAGAGACAAAAACAAATTCAATTTCTTTCTTTGTATGTATGTATAAATATTGTCGTACATTCAACAATTCGTATATAGCTGCATATTTAACAGTAAGTCTATCGCTCTATTACTGCTGCGATTTTCTTTCATGACAGTTATGAAATGCGGGTGTGGGTGTGGATGAGAATATAAAGTTAATCGGCCACATCCACACCCATACTCGCCCTCAGATTTGTTCATAGGTCTTGCTCATAAAGCCAAGTAGATCCCGTCTTCTTTCTGAAACATAAATGATACCATTCGTTGGATTATCACTTGGATCATCAGAAAAAGCTTTTAAAAGGAGTCTGCTTTCATATATATATTTATTTATACTATAGCGAAAGAAACGAAATTTGAAACTTTGAAATTACCATATTGAGGATGTGAGCGTGGATACGATATAAATATTCACACTCGTACCCACATTCGTTAAATTAGTAAAAGCTGCTTTTTATTGATTATAAGAGAAAGTTTGTAACAAAAACATTTTTTCATCATTGATAAAACCATACTTAATGATAGATTAATAGATGAGTTCACTTTTTGTTAGTAAGTAGCCGGATATTGCGCAACATTTCCTCTCGTGCTGTATATTCAAGAGGACGAAACTTATCATAAATAGTTAATGCTTGTTGATAGTAATCAAGTGCCATCGTTTTCTTGTCCTGATTTTGATAACATTCTCCAATATTATTCAAAGTTGTAGCAATATTGATATGACCAGATGGATAACATTTCTCTCGTATTCTGAGTGCTTGTTGATAACAGTCGAGAGCTTGATCGTATTTTCCTTGATTATAGAGAATGTTTCCAATTTGAATGAGACTTTTAGCAATATCAGCATGAGCAACTGAATAATATCTTTCTCGTATTTTTAATGCTTGTCGATGATAAACAAGAGCATCATCATACTTTCCTTGATTCAAGAAAGTGTTCCCAATGTGGTTGAGACTGTCAGCAGTAACGGCATGGCCAGATGGATAAAGTTTCTCTCGAATTTTGAGTGCTTGTTTATGATAGGTGAGAGCACTATCGTACTTGTCTTGAGAAGAAAGAACAAAAGCAATATTATCGAGACTTTCAGCAACACAAGCATGACCGAATGGATAAACTTTTTCTCGAATTTTTCGTGCTCGTCGATGATAATCGAGAGCTTCATCGTACTTTTTCTGTTTATAAAGATTAAAACCAATTTTCTGAAGGCTGTCAGCGATAGTAATATGATCAGAAAAATAATATTCTTCTCGTATTCTGAGTGCACGTTGATGGTAGTTGAGAGCTTCATTGTACTTTCCTTGTTTTGTTAAATTCTTGCCAATATTTTCGAGAATTCGAGCAATATTACCATGATCTGCTGGATAAAATTTCTCTAGAATGTCTAGTATTTGTTGAGCATAGCGGAGAGCCTCATCATATTTTCCTTGATCAAAGAAAACTGCCGCAATTTTATTGAGAGTGTTGATAAAGCGATTATGATTAGATGAATAATATTTCTCTTGAATTGTTAGTGCTCGTTGATAATACTCTATAGCTTCATCATGTTTTCCTTGTCGTTTGAAAATACTACCAATATTGACGAGACTTGTACTAATACCAGCAAGACTATCTGGAGAATATTTCTCTTGGATTATCAATGCTCGTTGTTGGTAGTCAAGAGCTTCATCGAATTTTCCTTGATAAGAGAAGACTTTGCTAATGAAAGAAAAACTATCAGCAATAGTAATATGATCAGGTGGATAATATTTTTCTCGTATTTTGAGTGCTTGTTTATGGTAATCAAAAGCTTCATTATACTTGAATTGTTTTATGTAAATTTTGCCAAAATCGTCAAGAATTTGTGCAATATCGGCATGACCAGTAGGATATAATTTGTTTTGACATTCTAGTGCTTGTTCAGTATAGTGGAGAGCTTCATCATATTTTCCTTGATCAACCAAAACTGCAGCAATTTTATTAAGGCTACTAGTAATATCAACATGAACAGCTGGATAATATTTCTTTTGGATTGTTAATGCTCGTTGATAATAGTCTAGAGCGTCATTTGAGTTTCTTTGAATAGCGAGGACTAGACCAATAAGAATGAAACTACGAGCAATAACGATATGATCAGATGGATAATATCTCTCTTGAATTTTTAGTGCTCGTTGATGGTAATTGAAAGCCTCATTGTACTTTTGTTGTTCTCTAAGAATAATACCAATATTATGGAGGGTACGAGCAGCATCGACATCACTAGGCGGATCAGATTTTTCTTGTATTTTTAGTGCTCGTTGATAATAATCAAGAGCTTCATCGTACTTTTTTTGCTTATAAAGTGTAACACCAATACTATTGAGACTGCTAGCAATAACGATATGATCAGAGGGATAATATATTTCTTGTATTTTGAGTGTCTGTTGATTATTATCGAGTGCTTCATCATATTTCTGTTGTTGTTTAAGAATAAGAGCAATCTTCTGGAGTACATGAGCTAAATCTCTGGTTCTTGGCGGTTTATTATTTCTCATTTGATCAATTGCCTGCTCATAATATTCCCGTGCTTCTTTCCATTTATCTTGAACATAAAGAATTTGACCAATATTAAATATAATCCAAGGAATATCTTGACCATTTGGTTTATTTAATAATTGTTCAAAATATCTTTGTGATTTATCATATTCACCTAATTTACACATTAAACTTCCAAATATAATCACAATACTTTGTTGTTCTGTTAGATCTTGTATTTTCTTAATATAATCGTTGATTAAATTCTCTCCTTCATTTGATAAAGTCATTTTAATCAATTGAACTGATTGATATTGTTCAATTGAATCAATTGTAAAACAAACATTGAAATTAAACAAGATATCTTTTTCAATCTGAGCAAAAAATAGATTTTTTCCAATTTGTTGAACATGACATTCAATTTGAAAAAGTACAGAAACAATATCTGTTCGTTTTGTTGATTTTAATGCAGAATCAAGTGCTTGAGATTTGTTTCGAGTAGCTGATAAATATCCGTTTGTTGAAATAAGGTGTCCTTGATTTTCTTTTAATTTATCAAAATCTTCTTGATTCATTTTTGTTCCTCGATAAACAATTAATATTTTTTCTTCGAATGACAAAAGTTTTTCATGTTCATGTTCAAGATTTTGTGAAAGATCATTAATAAAGAATTGAAATATATGTAATTGATCAATATCTTTTGTTATTAAAGCTTTATTGATCAATTGATAAATGAATGATTGTTTTAGATAACATTGAATGGCGTCTTGTGATTGATATTCATCTTGGAATTGATCAATTAATTGAAGTTGCTTTAGATTTTCCTGATAATATTGTTTACATATTTTAATCATTTGTTCTTTTGGTTGTTGATTTTTGGGAAGTTGTTTAATAACATAATTAAATAGTTGATACCATAAAAATTCATTGGATGTTTTTGATAAATCATTCATAATTTTTTGATCTTTATCAAAATAAGAAAATGTTTGTAATTGTGTATCAACAAGGTTAATTTGTTCTTCAATTGATTGATATAAATCATCAAAATCATCATAAATGCCAATTATTTTCGAATATTCGTCTAATAAATATTCATATTGAATTTTTTTCATCGTAAAAATAAATATGGAATCAAGCTGATGAAGTGAATAAATCTGAGATAATAATTGTGGTGCTTCTGATCCAGATGTAATAAGAAAGATTTTTTCTTTAGTAATGGATTGAATAAATCTAATAGATTCATCAAGATCGGTATAAATAATAAGATAATCATTGAGATAACGAAGTTGTTGCTTAGTTTGTTCAATATCTTCATGTAATCCAAAACTTGGATCAAATCGAATAAGTGTTATACTTTCTTTATTTTCATCTTCGGGTGTTTTCAACAATGACTTATTCTTCAACATATCATTGTTTCTTCTATTGATAGATGATAAGACTTCTGGCATAATCACTAGAAGAAACTTTCTTTTTTTTTTCATAATATTTAAACATCACAATGATAGGCAGATATTAAAGAGAAACAAACTGAGGGTGTGGGTTTGGGTGAGTTAGAGCTGGCTATAATAGGCCCACACCCACACTCTCATGCACGAATCTAATATTATCCTTTGTCCAAGTAGAATATACTTACGATTATTTTCTTGTGATAGTATGCTGCAAAGGAAAAAACTTTTAACACTTTTACTTTCTACTTAAACATACTTACTATGTGAGATATAATTATATAGACATTTATTTTTTTTCCTATCGAAAGGTATGCATATATATTATGTACAAAAAAAAACGTGCACAACGATTATTTAAACCGACAAACGATAGCTGTTAAGTCTAAGAACAAAAGCATGACTATAATAATGAAAACATGTGATAACTATGCACAAAATGAAGGAAGGAAAAATAAAAAACAAGAAAATCAAGTGTGACTAAAGCGAAGGATATTCAAACAAAATATGAAGCAATGAGTGTTATAAAGTACTGAATCTATAAAACCGTTGATTGTTTATGGTTAGAATTCTATGGAGATTCGAATACAAAAGTTAATTTACACAACACTGAACTCTTCTGATAACTAGTGTAATACCAATATCCTGAATTTTATAACAAATAAACCATTTTCTATAAACATCCGATAATTTTATTTCACAGAGTAGGATGAGAAATTCTTTTTCATAATAGACATAATTATACTATCTGTTTATGACTTGTATTAACTGTAAGATTATGTTTCATATTTTTATACCGCAAGGGTTTTCGCTAGGAGCTTCTTTAAATTAACTTCATATTCGTTGTTTCATATATTTTTAAAAACACATATTATTATAAACATGTTTATGAGTTCTACAATAGAAATTCAGATAAACTAAATGTTAGTTTTTTCTATTTGTGTATATTACAGTTGGTACAATTGTATTTGATTGTATATTGATTACTTTTCTTAATGATATTTTAAGTGGATCAGTGAATTGAAATAAAGTCATTATAACTAGAAGAAATGATGAACTACCAAACACATATGCAATACGAAAATGATATTTTGGTAAACTATTAAAAAATGACATAATTATAAAGATCGCATAAACAAAACCAACTCCAATTAGAATTGACACTAATATAACTATTTTGCGAATCATTTTTAATTCTCGCCGAGCACGAGACAAAACATTAACCGATGCTACATTTTTACTCGTTTCTTGTATATATCGAAGTAGTTTAAAATAAATAAATATAATCAATGTGACAGGAATTCCATACACAGTAAATGATATATAAATAACTGAAAATGAAAATCGAAGAGGTAATTGACACACTTGATTGTCATAATTGTAAACAATTCCGTTATTAAATAAAAACATAATAGGACATACAAAGCCTAAAATCCATGTACTAAAAACAAATAACATTTGAGTTCGTCGTTTTTGCCAGAATAAGACACGTGGATACATAATAAGAATATATCGATAAAGAGCTTGTAATACAAATGAATAATTAAATGCAGCACATGTAGCATAACTAATGTAAGCTTGAAATATACAATATGAATCAGGATAATAAATTTGTTTAAGATCATTATTAAGCATAATAATGAATGAAGTAAGCATTGCACATCCAAATACAAGTGCAGTTAGACATGAATTAGCAACTAACAACATATGTATTGTATGGCATGTTTTGTCAAATAAAATAAGACATAAACAGAGTATGGTAAGCCCAATGGCTGTAGTAGTAAATGTAGTGATTATAATATCAATTGGAATATACCAGGATTCAATATCAATGATAGATGAATTCATTTTTTCTACAAACAAATGAGTATCACCCGATAGTTTTTCTATTAAATAAGATATGTTCACAATATTTCTGAGGTAGTAATTACTAGAAGTGTCAGCTGTCAGTCGGTTTTTTCTGAAGTTGACGGTTTACCTCTCTAATAATTGCTATTAGAGTTTTCATAGACTCTTTTTCTTCTGTGTGGGTGACAAAATAAAAATAATATTTTGTTATTCTACTGGATTATGAAATAATGAGCTTTTGAGTCTATAATTAAAAGATATTATAAACAAAATAAAAATAACTACCTTAGGGTCTGCACATTAATATTAATTACATCATAGTAGAGTTAATTTGAGAAAAAAAAATTTTTCGATGAAAAGAAGACATGTATCTATATAAAAATCAACCAAACAAGTAGTTTTTAGTTATCAATAGTCTTTCTTTACTGAATTTCGAATTCTAAAAGACTTATTTCCTAGATTGTAAAGATGAAATCTAGAAATGGGAAGGTGTCGGTGTGGGTGTGGGCGGGTGGAAGTGAAATTAAAATCAAAATCTACACCCACACTGAAGCTGTGATTTTTTGAGTCCTAATATATTTGGAAAAATGAAATTCATGAAATTTTGATTTTATTTATTACGAGCTACGTTTGAATAGCTTTTCTTCCTAAATTATATAATACACATTAAACAACATCTAGTTTTTTAGATTCATTTCTTTTCAATTACAATAAAACTTGATGAAAAGAGAAACCATAAAATTATTTTTTTTTATCAACGAGAACAAAGTTTAATTATAAAAAACATATAACTCAGATGAGATGAAAGAAGATTAATTAAAGATTTACTTTGAGTGATTGTCTTTTAATTTAATCATAAACATATCATAGTATTCATTGAATGTTCACACGATTAGCTACTATACGTGCAGTAGTGACATTGATTGGACGAACAATGTTTCGATGTCGACGATATTGAAGAGTTTTTTTAAGTTTTGCTCTCAGCTCTGGTAATGATCCAATGGCAAATATTGGAAAAAGAAGAAAAGTATAATAACTAACAAATATCATACGTGATGAAAATTCTGCTGCGATGTAAGATGGCATACCACATAGATGAAGAAAAGATATAATCATAGAAGGAAACGGTAAAATCAAATAAAGAAATGAAATAATTAGCAATTGAATTGTCATTTTTCGATATCTTCGCCATTGAATCTGTCGATGTGCATAATATTTTTGCCATAAAACGCGTAATAGAAGAGCAATACTCGAAATAATAATAGTGACAATAGGTAGAATTCCATGAACTATTATATCCTATAGATAGAGTTTTGAGTTGTAAAAAGCACAAGAGAAAAAACCTGGTCTACTATAATGATCGAAATTATTCTCACATTATTCGTTTCTTTCTAGTCGATATTAATTGATCATGAAAAATGAGAATATGTCTTTCAATTGTGACCCAAGCGTATAACAAAAATTGAAGAACAGATATTGTGGTAAAAGTTTCAAAAGTACGAAAATAATGAATAAAACAAGATATATTTATCAGACTATAAAACAGATTAATAATAAGAAGAATAATCACGGCATAATTATGAAGTTCTTGGCGAAGATTGCGATTAAGAAGGAGATGATATAAGGCAAATAAACATCCAACAAGAGATGGAATAATTAAGAAAAGATATACTCAGAATTGAATTGAGTAGAATTGTTGTGTATTGACAACAAATATTGACAAATCTTCATTGGAACTATTATAAACAATTGTCATCGTGGAATAAAATGAAATAGTTATTAGGTACAGACGTGTTGCAGGAATGATGTGAACGACAAAAGATTTTGACAAAGATATGTACTGTATGTTTATAAATTTTCAAATTAGTAACGTATGATAAGCATTCTGGAATATAATTAAAAAGCTTTATAAGATAGTTTAATTATGAGGCAGTGCGGAAGTTTATCCTCATAGTATTTTTTTAAAGTAGATTTACTGAATAACAAAATCAAATATATACATATAAGAATATAAAATATTCCCTAAGGTACAGAAATATTATAATTAATATAAATCGATTCTTTCTTTCTCGACAAACTGATGACAGTTAAATTTTACTATTTTATTGATGTAAACTGTTATGTTTTCATGTTCGATCAAAAGAAATGAATAGATATATTGCGTTTCTTGTATACGTGAAGACAAACGAAGAAAACAACAACCACTACATTACATGAAGTTACTATCGAAAGATTAAAAGTTTACATTATTAATAATAAGTTCTACCTACATATTTTTACCCTCAAGATAATGTATGAGCTATTTATATTAGATTTTAATAGAATGTTCAGATCTTTGCAGGAAATGAATTTCCAAAGTCTTACTGAGCTTTTTTTAACAATATTTAGATTTTTTTAGACGTAGTTTTTTTTTAAATTTAATAGTATTGAATGTTGAGAACATCAGTTAATAGATAGAGTAACATGTATCGATCCAGTTGATAGTAAATTATTCTCACAGAACTTGAGGGTGTACGTTTAGATGTGAGTAATCATAAAGCAAATACTCATCCGCCTACAACCACATTCACACCCTCAATAATAGTTTCATTCATCCCACATTCCTACTCATAGACTCGGAAAATTTCAATTCTTTATTTCATAGATTATAAATAAAAATGAATCGCACACAATTCTTTTTCGTAAAAACAACATAAGATGATTCATACACATTATTTATTCATGCATCTTGCTTACAAAGCACACAATGAAAAAGAAGAATAAGACAATGTTTTCTTTTTCTTTCTTCTCGATCTTTTCCAACTAGCCATCACTCTGTTTATTACCATGCAAGAGATTTTTATCTTATCAAATGAAAGCAAGTAACTTTTCAAGTATTTTGTTATATTGTTCTTCACAATAAAAATGACAATAAACATAGAAACAAAGTGAGCGACAACTATAAAGAAAATTCTCATCCACAGCTGTTAGCTGTTGATTCAACAACTCCATACATTCGCTAAGCAAGTAACGTATTCGACACTCAGTGTTTGAGACAAGTCAATAAAATAGCAAATGAAAAAGAAATTCTTCTTACTCATAATAACTTGTCTACCAATGATTGGATAACACCTTTTAATCTTTTAAATAAACATGACTCATATTATAGTTTGGCTTTCACAAACGCCATGTAATATATCACACCATTGTGCATCTTTATTTGCACTATGAAACGAACTTCGAGCATTTCAAGAACAAGCACATCTTGATAGGATTTTATTTTCTTGAATATCATTCAGATGAATTAATTATCGGTGGTGCAATTATTCCTTCTATTGATAATCAAGGATATAATGGATTCGATATTATCAGAGAGATTCTTTATATATGTGTTCAATTACTTATTACTCCACAAGAATTAATTTTCAAACAAGCGCTTTTAGACAATAATAAATCAAAAAAAGATATGCAACAAGCTATGAATCAATTTTGGAATTTATATGATGAAGAAGTACAAAAGAGATTCGATGAATTTTTTAGATATTCGTTCGAATGTTATTTATTTAATTTTGAAAAAAATATAATCATTATATAGAAATGATAAATCTTATTTATATTTGATACAAAAATATACAGATATTTATAGTGTTTGATCAAAAACAGAATGCGCTTGATAAAGCATGTCAACTCAAAAGTTTAAGTTTTTGTATCGAGTTTATTCTTTTCAATGTTTTATTATTAGATACAAAAGAAAGAAAAAATTATTTCATTGCATCATCAGGCATGAATTCGGATAGATCAGCGACAATTTCTTCGATGATTGTGTGTTTAACTGTTGAGTTAGAATCAAACATAAATCTCAAAAATTCATTAGTCGAAATAAAGTTAAAAATAGAATCGATTCGCTCATGACTTTTTTGTGTCAGATTATTTCCAATGATTTCGTGGATTAACTGTTGACAATTTTTAAGTCTACATTTGAGTAAGAGTCGAATGCACATCGAATTCAGTTTATTGAGTTCAACAATGATTTTAAAAATTAAATGACATTCGACCATCAATTTGTTCAGTAATCGTACGCCATTGGGACTGAATAAAATAATTCCCTTTTCATAGAGTACTTGAGATTTCATTCCTGATTTTATTATCATTTCTAATAATATGTCTGCTATTTGTTTATTTGAAAAACCTTCTGCTAAACGATGAAGATTGTTGAAAAGTCGATCGAATGGTGTAGAGATGCAATATTCTGCAATATATTTATTTGAGAAGAATCTAAATGAGTAAAAAAAATGAATTTTACATATTTTCTTGATTATGTTTAGCAATGAAATACTCTTACTTGCATATATATTTTTCAAAACCAATACTAAGACTTTGGGCTGTTGTATTAGTGACATGATTTGGAAATAAATTTACGGTTATGTGCACCATGTTGCTCTTATTTTTTTCCGATACTGAGACAATGTATTATTAACAATAAATGCAAAAGAAACAGACTATTAAAGTGCGTTTCTTTTATATTTCGTACAAGCTGAGCTTATGAACGAAAATCTATGCACTGCAATCTTTATTATATATACGAGGATATGAATCATATTATCTTATCAGATCATTGCATCAATTACAGCGTTCTGATGTTTTTCCTGCGGAGGAAGTCTTTATTGGAAAAAACCAACACGGGAAATTTCGAAAAAAGATAAAGAAAATATCTATATATGGAAGTTTTCCTTATTTTTTTTCGACATTTGCCACTAAACCCTCCACACCCACTCCCCTAAAGAATATACTAGAACGAAGCAGAATATGAGACGTACGCTCATCAGAGCGGAAGTGATGTCACATGGATATACAGAGAACTATACAGAAAGGATGACGTAATAATGCTGCGACATATATGTGTGCGCTGTCAACAAAGCGTGAATAATGTAATTTCTATTTTTTCTCTTTTTTGATTTTTGATGCGCTTATTTTTTTTATCTTGTGATCGTTATCTCACACTGAAGGCGGAAGGGTATATA